CCTGATGTATATATATATATATATAAATATAAACGATAATTAATGAGTATATTATAACATTATAACCTATATATATATATAAATAATTTTATACCAATATAAAAAGCCGTTAACCAACTGTACTTTAACTATATAACTACAATACTATCTACCTACCCTCTCATCAACCCCTAATGATTATATCATTAATATTTACTGAAATATATCGATGTCTAAAGCCACTAAAAGTAGTAGGTTCACAGTAATGTAAATCTAAAATGTTAGGATGTTTTTCAATATTGGGTAATTTAGTACTTTCCACGTCATAGCCAGTCCTTTAATTTATACTTTCATAGCTGCAATTGCCACGAATCTTTAAAACATATTTCAGTTTTTGACGATAATTCAACAAATATTTATCTCGAATATTTTTGATAACTGTGTAGGTAAATCGTAATATATACATCTTACTATATGCGTAATAATCATAGTAAAAATATAATATTTACTACTATATCATATTAAAATCACATTATAATATGTACTTCATTTAAAGATCTAAAGACACAAATTGTAAATATATAGTATACAGAGGGAATGTAATAAATCTCCAGTGTATATTATATAATATTATCGTACACTATTCATAGTTATTTGACCAAATGACTTACGAGAATTCACGTGTAAGCTATATCTGATGCATAATATAAAATATAAATGTATCATGTTATTAAATAACAGTTATTTTATTATTTACCTACCAACTTTGATAACCAGCCGTTTGATTTTGTTTGTATAAATACTATAAATATGCACATTTCATGTATCTGCAAAGCGCGTGGCATTAAATTGTATTCGTAGTTTTTCACAAGTGCCCGCCCTCGCGTTATTATTTTTGAATTCAAAGAAATAAGCGTTGTACGACAACGTCATATTTTCTACAATTCCATTTAAATCAAAATAATAATTTAATCCGATTAATAGGCAGGTACGTAATCATATTATGCTTTGTCTCGATTATATCATATATGGGATTTTATTAAACTCATAGGTATTATTCGTATTATCGTCATCGGCGGTGGGCAATATGTATATTGTATAGGTACGCATGACGTTATTTTATACATAATATATATTATGTATTTTCGACGGCTGATATTTTTCTTCACACTATTACCATGGTAATCCTCAACGACGCAGGAAAAACTTAAACAACTTACTCACTTAAATATTATCGTGTGGAATAATAATTATGGATAAGAAAAACAAACACAGAGACGATTCGTTGAATTTTAAACTCCTGATTATGCGCAGTACTAATGTTCAACGGGGTTTTTAAATCGCTGAACGATGGTTTACTCGTTAATTTTGTGTTAGATTAAAAAAAAATKTCATATATTTTTATAAATAATAAGAAATCACACTAAACACAATAATATGTTTTATGGATTTAAATTTTTAGTTATTTCTTTTTAAAACGACTTCGTGTATTTTTAACTAAAACTTCTTTATAGTGGGTGGTACACCGAAAATTTGTGGATCACCGGTAGGGTCATTGCAATATTTCCGAAATTGACTTATCCATGAAACGATTTCATGGAATAAATATCTTTATATTGGTATAAGTAGAATGCGTTGGTTTACAAAGAACTATTGAATTAAGTTTGTTTACAGTCACCGCGCGTCCACGAAGGAAGATATTTTGTTTGCGTGTGGATCAAACGTTTATTACCGGTATAGCAGTCATGAATAATTAAACAAAATTATGATCTTATTTTAATTTTAATTGATTATTKGTCAATCGTACTTCCATAGCGTTCACACTAGTCTGAGAAATTTCTCTTTATCTTATCTGAGTAAAACAATATAATAATAGGTAATAAATTAATTCCGATTACCAATGTTATTATTTTTATTTAATAATTCCAATACAAGCATGATGTTCTATCGGTTGAATAACTCTGAAAGAAATTTCACTTCATTCGCGAAATCTCTTAACGCGTACATTTTTGATTTCAAACTGAAGCAAAATGTTTATCGGATAATTTAATAAACAACTGATGAAGAATAGTGGTACTTCGCTACATTGGTGAATATCTTCTTCACTTTCATAATGTAAAATAAACATAGGTATGCATACTTATTACTATAATATAATAATGTAATTAATTACGCTTACCAATTCTAAATGTTAAATACTCATCAAATATATATATAATATTTGATATTAATACACACTTATAATTATAAATTGTAGGATACGAATGACGGCCTAAACTAACGCGTATTATAAAGAAGACAAAGTTTTGAACGTGAACATTACGCTGGACCTACTATTAATGTTGTTATTTTGTTTAACGCGCGTGGATATTTTCTGAAAATACGATATAGTCTACCGTATGCCAACGAGAAAACATTGTTCTTTTCAAGACTTTGAGAATAACTTTTTGATTCTTTACCTCCGGTGTCGTACAAGCGCACGCAACATAAATCATGATTATATATATTATACACCTGTGTCCCGTGTCTCGTGTACTAGTATAAGATAATACATATGTATATAGCAATGCGGTAATGGGTATAGGTGTAGGAATATACCACGCGTGACCACTGAAAATTATTGCCCCTCTACGCCAGTTTATTATTATATTGAGCCCGTGTATGTGTGTGCGCGCGCGTATTATAGTCTGGAAAACTATTGCCGTTCGACAAACAAATGATTAATTCCAGATGACTTTTCTATTTGGTTTTTCCTCGTTCTCTACGTCTATCCTATTATTTTCTTTCGCCGCCTTATACACCACGTGTTGACCATGATATATATATATATACACATAGAAATGTGTGTTCTATTGCGACCGTTTCACACGTGCAGTGTAAACTCACGTTCTCTAAATTTGTCAATATATATATAACCTAACCAATGTATATTTGCTAAATCAACAGAATGTAGTATACACACATGAGAATGAAATCGCATTTGAGACGACGACGATTGAAAGTGCATAATAATAATAATAACATAAAAACGGACGGTTATAATTGTGTGCGGAGCCCTCTAACTTTAACGTCGAAGACGTTTCGGCAATAACAACTTCAGACCAAGTCGTGATATTTATTATATTTTATACGGAGTAATATTCGAAATTCTCCAGTTTTGATCTCATATCGAGTTCTAAAATGTTTATGGATCGTATAAAATGGTAGTTAAAACTGCAATAAAATTATCTCCAAACGACCGTTTAAAAAGTCGGCGTTCTCTGTAAGATATCGTGCACATATTAGTTAACTATATACGGGATGAGTCACCAAGCATACTCATTGTCATTTTACATTTTAAATTATATATTTATTTAAATTCTGAATTTTCTAGTTTTTGGGTTTTATGTTTTAAATGACAAGTATTTTTCAAATACTCAGATTGTTTTTCATAATTTAAAGAGTATCATATGGAATTTTAGTAAGATAATTTATTTTATTTTTCATGCAAGAAAGATGATATTTTTATTTTTTTTCCTCGAAACCTATAGTCATATTATGTTGATTATGCATGTCGAGAGAGTGTGTTGGAGTGACTACTTTTGACCATTGATGTAATGGAGATCCAAGGAATGACCATTAAGCTTCACGATTTAAAAAAATAAAAATAATTATAACAATTATTAGTGATTGTAGATTATGTATGGTATCTTATGTATACTCAAGTGATGTATCACGTATCTTTTAATGTTTACATTATTTCAATATCATTATTTATGTGTTCCTGAGAACAAATGATCTGTTTTTGATAAATTAAAATATTTAATTGGAGAAGTATTTCGTCTGTGTGTTACTTAATTGTGTATTGGTTTTTTCTTGTTTGTGATAAATCACAGCTAATCTTTGGTAAATTTACTTGTAAGTGCAGGTAATTGTTATGAGTCAAGCTACGTGTTTCCATTAATATTTGAAATTTAAATTGAATACATAAAACAACAATTTTGTATACAGAAAAATCATACCTACACAACTTCCGTGTAATCTCTGGGCAACTTATTTTATCATTCTTTCGTAAGATACTATTTGATTTTTCTTCCATCTAGTTGTTCTTACACTACTTATTGTTATTAATTATTTATTTTATTTTATTTACGTCAAATAGCAATTACAAAAAGTATATAAACAGTAATAGAACAGTAATAATATTACAATATACAGCTTAAAATTAGACTAGTTTACAAAATGCATTATTAGAATAGTATTATACAGACGGTTAAAAGTGGCAAATAAATATAGAATACTGAGTAGATTATATAGCATTATTGGCATAACGAAGCATACGGTGTAGTGGATGGTTATTACCGTAGGAGGTGGAGTGAGTGGGGATATGAAAGAGTGTGTGATGCCTTGAGGGGTAGGATGGGACACGGAAATTATGCTTATTGTACATTTTGTTTACCTGAGTTTAGTATTTATAAAAAAACTAAACTCAATTTAAATTAAACGTATGTTATTGTAAGTATATAATTTTAGATAAATAATTACGCCCCTGGATTTCGATGTTTAAACGTTCAAACATTATTACGATAAGAATACTTGCGCGTCGTATATGCGTTAGTTCCAACAAAGTTGTTTTAAAATAAGTCAAAATTCAATAGTATTACAAAGAAATAATACATTTTCATAAAATCAAATTTACTGGAACACACTGATAAGACAGATTGGTTACAGTAACTTGAGAACGTGAGAAGTAATAGAAAACTCGTTACAGCGATATCTCAGTAATTCGAAAATCTCCAAGGATAAACAACTCTCGAATTGTGAATTTTAATAATCCATTTTTCTGTAATATTTTAGTACGAGTGGTTCAGATGGTATTGGGTTGTATAATCACGTGGCATTCGGACGAACCGTGAAAAACTTTCACAGTTTTATTGATTATGAGACAATTTTTCAACTATAATTATTGACATTTAAACATTTTTTTTTTTACCATGTGATAATTAATACTGATCTCAATACCTTCGAATTTTTTTCCGCAGAACTCTGGAGGAATGTACAGGACACTGGCGATTCTGTCGGGCGCGGCCGCTGGTCTGCTGTTCGCCAGGATGTCGCTGATGGGTGACAGCGGACCGCCGGTGTTCGCAGCGGCTGACAACCCGACCGCCAAGTCACCCAGCCTAGTGACAAGGACGCTGACGTTCCTTTACTTGCCAGCTGAGAACTTTCGGTTGCTCGTATACCCTCGAAGGTTAAGCTTCGACTGGTCTATGGACGCCATCGCGCCCGTCACATCCGTCTATGACCCCCGGAATGCGCTGTCCATCGCCCTGTACGTGGCCTTGTTCGCCGCAGCCAAGCGGTCAGTCGCAGCCGCATCTAAGGCCAGACTACATCATAACCGGCCTCATAGATGCTGTTCGAAGACCAAGTATGATCGCCCGTCCGATCGTCCCGATGATCCGGTAAATACTAGCTAGATAAATTTTGTTTTCGTTACATAATATTAAGATTACTATTTATTACTATGAATACCTAAAGACAAGGGCGTCGTTAAAGGGGGAAACGAGAATTGCTTCACTCTATCCATATAGCTAATAAATATATAAATGTTGAACAGAAATTTAAAATGATTAGGGTAAAAATTTAATGAAACACTATAATTATATCTTGCTCCTTTCCCTGATGAAATTTTTAGTTAGGCCCTTCAATGTAGATTATGTATGTATATAGCATTAAGGTCAGTAATTAATTGCTATTACTTTATTAATGAATATGATTATAATAAATCTGTGAGGCAAACTTACTTTTAATATTATTCGTTTTAAATAGAGCACGTGATTTGATAATTAAAAATTCATAACGGTTTCGTTTTTCAAAATAAGTTTATATACATCTATAATTAATAACAAGTTTTTTGTGATCAGTGATAAAAATTAAATCGGTATAATATCAGTCTTAATGTAAACTATGCTAATTGTTAATTTGGGGTTTTTCAGAATTTATACCAATAAATAAATTATGATTTAATGCTAAATTAGATATGTTTTCCTTCGTTTATTATTTATTATTATCGTTTTAATCATTTTAATCAATGAATAAACGATTTTGTATTTTTTTTTTATATTTAACAAAAATTATTAAATATACGTCTACGTAATTTTTGTATTCTATTGTTAAATTAAAATTTTTTTATCGCCGTGTTCTTGGTCGATTTGAATCATTTTTTTAAATCTTTTTTCCGCTACAAAAAAGTATAGTTTTTTATAATTTTTAGGAATTGAGATTATCAGTACTTTCTAGTATTGTTTTAGAATCAAAATAATAACTATATCACTCTTGTTAGTCAATCGTGATTTGTCAATTTTTGTTATGTTGACGTAAAAAAAAAGATCTCAGTTTATGCCTGGTACACACGCTCTCAAACAGGTAACAAGCTCATGTCAAATTATCCCTAATTATTTATATATAATATGTATATATATTTTTAACATACTTTAGTGTTTGTCTTAAGTAAACGCGCCACGTTATTTATATTGAGAATAATTCTGGTGAAAGATAATTTTGAAAAATATTCTGGTACAGATTCAGATACTTTAGTTTTTTTAAGTATTTAATTTAATTATTATATACGTATTCATAAAAAAAAAATTTACAACAAGAAACTAATACTTTTTATGTTTATATTTTTTACCTTTTTAATCTGTTGAAACGATTTTTATGTTTAGCGTTATTTGCATAGAACATTCACACCGCATCATTTGGTTTAATATCAAATATATTAATTTGATTTTTTTTCTGAAATATGAAACCTTTGTCAGGTCAATTAAAAGCCTAAATTGTCAATTAACTTTAGTTTAAATAACGCAGGAAAAATACATTTGAAAAATAAAATATTGTGCATTATTCAAATGCATATTTTAGCTTCTATAATTACAATTTTGAAAATTGGGTTTAGATCTGACTTGAACAATTTTTTTTTTTTAAATGCAAAAAAAATAATACCGAAATAATCACATCTTACCTAATACTTTTACTAAAATATTCTTTAAAATTGTTGACAATATAATATTATCATAATCATTATATTTAAGGTAAGGGCTGTGGGACTCGCCATCGCCATGACCGCTATACCATTCGTTCCAGTGTCCAACATGTTCTTCTACGTGGGCTTTGTGCTGGCTGAGAGGGTGCTATACATGCCCAGCGTAGGATACTGCTTCCTGTTCGGGTACGGTTACGCAGCATTAGAACGTCGTTTAGGTCCCAAGTGGCCAAGGATGGGACTGATGGTAGTGCTCACCGTCTATGGTGCTCGAACAGTCATAAGGAACAACGACTGGCAGGACGACGAGTCGCTGTACCGATCGGGCGTGCACATCAACCCACCAAAAGGTCAGTGATTTTCTTTACAAACGTACATAAATCATTACTACGTATTATTATTACATTATTATAAGTAAAAAAAATCGATTCCCCTGCAACATTTCCCATTTGGTCAGTCGACAATGAATACATTGTTTACAATATACAATAAATACAATATTTTATAATAATATATTTATTAATTCTACTATATTTTTCTTAAAAATGTTTATACATTTTGAAATATTTATTACACATCAAATTTCTACAATATAATTTAACATTTAAACCGTCTGAGATTATCGCTATGATCTGAAACATGATTAGATTGTGTAAGCGCAACGCTATCGATATTTTTCCAGTCCTATGAATAGTTTTTAATGCAATTAGATAACTTAAAACCGTGAAGCAAAGGTTAAAAAATGTTTAATTGTTTATATCTTACAAAAAATTAAAAACAAATATGTTTTGATGAAAAAAAATAATAAATGTTACCTATAAGAATTAAATTTCCTTCCAATAATTTAAATAATATAACAATAATTTTATAAATTAATTAAAATGTCCAAGTTTTCTTTCGGAAGTTTATTATAGCAATGCATAATTTGAATTTCTCAATCTAAATTAGTACTTTAAAAAAAATGTTAAATGTCGAATGAACCATTTAGTGTATTAATATACCTAATAGGTACTCAAAGTACCTAGTCATTTATCGCAACAATCAATTTTCTGAAATTTTATTAGATATATTTAATTGCTTAAAATATAAATAAAAAACTATAGTTTGTCAAATACTTGATATTTTTGTCACTTCACTTTTCGATACAAATATTTTAAACGTAAATAATTAACATGTATACTGGGTACATACCATATTTTACTATTATATATCATAATTTGATGAAAGAAAAACTGAGTGCGTGAGGTTAAACAAACACCCTGTACACACAGGGCTCGGAAGAGTTCGTGCACTAAAAACCATCAGGTTGTGGCGCCGTGCCCATAAAAATGAAAAATATGCAACAAAATTGTTTTTAAATTTAAATTAACCTTCGTTGATTCCTATTATTACACGGTCGTAACTAGTATTGTTTGAAAACAAATCGTTTGAATTACATTTTACGGCGTAAAAAACACAATGCAGTATTATATTATTATATTGTTATTGTATGCAGTACTTATTTGCATAGAAGCCGTTTTTTTCCCAATCGGAAATCGTTCCACCTCAGAGGAAATAATTATTGTAAAAAAATTATTGTTTAACGGGATGCTTGATAAAAAAATTAATCACAACACTGATATAATTACGATGAACACCTTATATTATGACAATGCTCATAATTCTTTTAACCATCAATACATAATATGTAGACTAGTTTTATAGAATACAACAGCTGTAGAATATTGTTTTGAAACTTATATAATACATTAATAACCAAGTATAATAACGTTGGAACTATATTTACGAAACACCGTGATATGCATGTAAAATTATTTCACGACAAATGTTGTTATATATATTATATTCGGTTAATCATTTTGATATACGTGTAATTTACTTAAATATCTACTCTCAGATAAAAAATTAAAAAAACATAATAAATAAATATTTAGTCACGTCATGACCATGGTATTCTTCGAAATGTTCTCTGTACGTGGGCTCGCGGGTCGTGAACATCGCATAATGTAAATACGTAGTCCTATCGTTGACCGTTGTATCAGGTCGAAATGGGATCCGCCGAAAATATCGAGCAATGGCGCATTTTAGAATACATATAAATGTATACATACTCGTATATATACTGTTGCACCTACTTCCGGCATCGATGTATATATTTTATTATTATGGGTCGGGCAAAACTCGATTGGCCCGCTAGTCAATATTACTATTATTATTTATTATTATTATTATTATTATTATTATGTTTTACGTAATATATACATATCCATATATATATAGCTGCGGGTCGTTTGAAAATCCGACACCGCGGAATTTCGCAAAGAGAATAGAATATATTATTATTATTATACTTACGCGCCCTATTTCGAGGGTCGAAAAAAGGTTGTTCTAGATTTGAGTAATCGTTTTCGTGCTGAACGATATTACTTTTAAATATACAAGTCTGTGAAATACCACCATACAAAGATAATATGTATAAACTATAACATTATGTACCTATGTATAGGTACACACTTAATATGTATTATATATTATGCGTGCACACTAACTAGATGTAGGTACGTGATACCACACGCGGTATCCACTGCTGCGGTAAAACTTTCGCCTCAGTGCATATTTTATATACAGGGTGTGTGGTTTGTATCGTATGGTGTTCAGTTTTACTCCGTTAAGTTAATGCGGGAATCGCGAGCTAGAAATATTATATCGAAGGTCACTTTATAACTATTATGAGGTGCCACGACTATTTCGATTGATTATGTTATGTAAAACAGTTCACGCGTTACCGATCTCATAGCCAGGGGTCCACGTACATCGTCCTCACTCACAACACACTGCAGAGTTTAGAGTCTGATACTCATACAATTACGTTGCAGTTTAACGAGTCTAATATAATAAAATACAAAAACGTATTTAAAAAAATTTTCTATTGCATAATAGTTTAGACGAGTAGACCAACATATCGCAAAATATCACCGGCTATGTAACACTCCATTTCGCTCGTATAAACTTTAAATACTTATAACTCATAAAATATTAGTCCAAAATTCGATTTTTATGTATCGAAGTAGTAAGTGAAATATTCTACTTTTGAATAATAAGGAATTAAAATGCATGTTGTGATTAAAAAAATTTAATTTAATTTAAAAAAAAAACCTTTAATTTTTCTAAAAACTTATGTAAAACAAATATTTCCAAAGCGTTAATAGTTTTTGAAATAATATGSAGTGTGTTACGTTATGATTTGTAAAATATTATATACTAAAATAAGTAGGCAGTAGCATTTGAATATATTGCTTCATATTCAGTAATAATATTCCGATAACATATTTTAAAAATATAAATTATTAATTTATTGATCTACTGCAGTATAAATACCACAGTGAAACAAAACACAATATAATATAATATATGAGTAGATTTTTACTTTTAAGAGTAATATTTGTATTCAGACGTGCACGCCGCCAAGTATATAATAATATAATAAATGAATAAAGTGGCATAAAATTACTATACATACTACGCACATATTACATTTAAACCTCACCCGTGCGATAGAAAAAAAAACATCAATAATAGTAATAATAATAATTATTATTATTACAATAAAAACGTATGAAAGACAAACAACACTCCGAAACGATAACATTAGCCAAACGGTCTGCCTGCACTACTTCGATAAACTTTAATACTCATTTTAAACGATATGCCCACACACGCTGCGTCTATTAAAATATAATCGCTTACTGCTCAGTTTATGTATTATAATATTATAATAAAGCGAGTTTCGATTAGATTTTTTTCATCCATAACGCAGTTGGGAAATAAGTGGAAAAAGTATAATCTCATTCTGGGCCGTCGGAATGGGCGTTTTTTTCGTAGAAGAAAAATAAAAATATTGTGTATAAAACGTATACGATTTTTCATCTCCGTATATTTTATACGTGTACATAAAGAAAGAGGTGATAAGGTCGTGTTCTCGACATCTGGAAACGACATTTTTACAATGTACGAGCGGTGTTTGTAACCTAAAAATTAGGTCTCTCATCCGCTGTAGAGTTTTGCTGCGCAATATTTTCTATGTATACATCGAAAAAATTATAACTCGAAGACATAATATAATAAAATGCGAAAGAAAGATGTTTGGTGGTCAGTGACTGTGCAGAGGGTAGTGGAAAAAATAAAAACACGTCTTTAACGAATTAACTGCGGACAATATAATAGTTTTGCGACTTTTATATTACATTACATTATGCCTAGTTATAAGACCAGTTCACAAGAAAACGTTTTATTATTACTATTATTATTTTTAAATGTCAACGTATAGCTGTAGGTATACACGTTTTGCCTGAACAATCAGAATTTATCGTTTATCCAACGTTTATAAAGGCTCTCTTTTATATAAATATATAAATTGAGAACCACTTTACMAAAGTTTCAAATGTCTATACAACCGAAAACGTTTTTAATAACATAGTAATCACGATACCAAATATATATTTTAGTGGTCACATAATATGTTATGATCATGGTCATATTTTATTTAGCACTATTTCGTCGTTTTCGTAGTCATTCGCCGATATCGTCGGGGTGATCAAATTGATTGAGGTGTAGAGGTTTCAAAGTAGTGACTATCGTGTTAGATACATAGGTACTATAATATATATCTTTATTTCATTATAATCGCTCTCGCTCAAATTATGCATAATCACGGCCACACCTCCACGGATCTATAATTACCTATATATATATATATATGTAGCAGAGTTTATAAAAAACATGATTTTTTAAAAAAAATCAAAAAAACTGTTTTAATCGTTTAAAACATGTTTTTTTTAAATGATTTTTTAAAATTGTTTTAAACATGATTTCATCGAGTTTAAAACAAAATATGAATTTTGCTAATGAAATTTGCATTTATTTGCTGGATGAATAACTGTCAAAATTATTACAGTTATATTGAAGTCCAGTGCATATGGAGGTGGTAACTGGTCAATGATCATATTATTATTGTATACTTATAATTGATATTGATACTATATAATTAAGCATAAATTACTATTTTATAAGCACTTAACAACCAAATAATATTTTCTTGACAAGCATCGAAATATGAATCACGTGTTCGCATACGTACATGTTGATTGTACATTGTACCAATTGTACCTAATATTGTATTACTGTTTAGTATCATATTTGTTTATTATTCGTGATACCAAATTTCTTGAAAAAAAATAATTCAAAATCCATAATCGTTGTAATACTGATAAATAAGAAATAAATTTGAATTTAAACAAACTTTAAAAATTGTTTAAAAATTATTGATTCAACCTTAGTAACATTTTTGAAC